TGATGATGGTGATGGTGGTGATGGTGGTGATGGTGATGGTGGTGATGGTGATGGTGGTGGAGGTGATGGTGATGATGGTGATGGTGTTGGTGGTGGAGGTGGTGGTGCTGATGGTGACAATGGAAACTGAAGAAATGACAGTGGAAAAGCTCAAGGCTGCAGACAGATTTACGCCCTTCCCTGTGCTTCTTCCGTCAGTCCCTCAGCTGTTGGTCTGTCTATTAAACCCCGGCGCCACAGCTGCTGCGTGGCAGGCATATTCCCACTCAGGCCCCGCACGCAGTGATCCAGTGCAGTGGTGCTGAGCTCTCAGGGGAGAAGCCCTCATCTCAGGCTGCCCAGAGGCCCCTGGGGGCTGAGACAGATCTTGGTTGGCCGTGCTCCGTGTAGAGATGACTCCCCGGCAGCGCGGCAACCTTGCCATCAGCGTGCTCCCTGTCCACAAGCCGCCAGATCTCTGGGCTCGGAGGCAAGAGGCTGCCCTTTGCCATCAGCCTTTCTGGAGCATGTGTGTGTGGCTGGTGGCATGGATCTGGTGGTGGGCTGATCAGTATTTACTACCAGCCCCCCCGTGGGGGGAAGCCTGATTCGATGCTTGCCAGTTTCCACGGTGCAAATACTTCCTGTCTGGTGAATTCCGGCTCCCAACACGAGGTCCCTAATAGTAGAGTTGGGGGGAAGTGCACCCCTATCACGGGCTGCTTCCACCTGCAGCTGTGAGAGACGCTGCGGGCTGGAGCGCGGCGGACACGGGAACGTTGTAAGATCACTGGGAAGCGACGGGATGTGCGCGTTGATCGCTTTGGAAATGACTCATGTAATCGTAAGCTCGCGTCATGTTTAACGATGACCATGTTAACAGCTGGCTCACAAAATTCTTGGAAACTTAACAGTCGGCGCTCAGGCGGGTACGAGCCTCCCGCCGGGCGTCCTCAGTGATCGGCCCCTCTGTCTCGTGCCATTTTCTCCAGGCAAACGAGAGAGCAGGAGACGCCCCCGGACTTTTTTTATTTCTCTGACTACGAGAGACACAATGCGGAGATCGCCGCCTTCCACCTGGACAGGTGAGCCGTCCAGCCTGCAGCGCCCCGCAGAGGCCGGGTCTGAGCACTGTGCTCGTCCCTGCGGCCCTCCCCGCTCCCTGCCAGTGGGGCGTCGCTCCCCTACTGCACAGAAGGGGAGACTGAGGCGCTGTGAGGTTTGATCGGCCCACAGCCCAGGCTCGCCAGCATTCCCGAGAGATGGTCCTTGCGTGTCCCCGCCCAGGTGGATGTGCTGCTGTGTACCAAGAACAGTGCTGTCAGTTCATGTCCAGGAGTGGCCGGGGACCCCGGGGGACGGTGGACCGTTGGGAATAAAGGACAGAAAGCAGGGCCAGGGTTTGGGAACTGCGTGTGTGCATTTCTCTGGGAGGCCAAGGTGGGACCGAGAGACTCAAGTGGCATAAACGGGTCCCCAATGTGGTCACCTGTCTTGGGGGCAGCTCTACTCAGCAGGGCGTGAATTCCTCTTCAGGAGCCACAGGCCCCTCACTGCCATATGGGAGGAACGGCCAGCAGCCCCGGCTCGGAGCTCCGCCCCCTCCAGGGGCAGCTCACGGGCCTGGCTCTGGGGTCAGCCCCGAGGGTCTATAGGATGGGAAGACTCCGCCTCGGCCTCTGGAGCTCCCCATCTTCACTGCAGACCCCTGGCCTGACATGGGTCTGAGCCTCGTGCTTGGGGTGTGGCCGGGTGTCACCCAAGCTGGTTGGAATGCAGAGCCCTGGGCTGCATCCTGGTCCTACAGAGCCACCGGCCCCAGGGTCAGAGGCGTGTTGAGTCGGCCCCACCAGGAGCTGGAGCTGGCCAGCGGGACACGAGATAAAGGCCCCTTTCCATCCCTTTCCCACCAGGATCCTGGACTTCCGCCGGGTCCCCCCTGTGGCTGGCAGGACGATCAACATGACCAAGGAAATCCGGGATGTCACACGAGACAGGAAGTTGTGGAGAACATTCTTCATCTCGCCAGGTAACCTGCGCCCGGGGAAGCCCGCCCTCACCTGCCCCCTGCACACAGGAATGCGAGCTGAGTTAACCCCTTCCGACAACGAGACGGGGTGTAGTGCTGGTCGTCAGCCCGCTGTGTTCTTTTAGCCACGGGCCACGGGCCCCGGGCCCCTCCGTGCCGAGGTGTGTCCACCTACGTCCCGATTTAAAAGGCTTCCCTGAACGGCTGTGCCGTCACGTGCAGTCGGTCCCCTGGATGGGCACAGAGGTTACATCTGCCATTGGTTTGTTTTCCAAGCAAAATGAATTCATTGCGGAAGACGCCCAGCCTCTCCGTGGACCTTCTCCAGGTTGTCCACCCAGAGGAGACCTCTGTCCTCTGCGGGCTGTGGAGCTGACCCCCTGAGAGCTCACGCCCATGGGCCACTCGTGTCTGAGCCACTGCAGGCCACGCGGCTGCCCCTAACCCATTTCCGTTTGCGACGCTTATTGCACCATTTCTAGTCATCGGTTTCAAAGGTTCAAACATTAAGACGCCAACGCCTCGTCCCCATGTGCCCGCCGCCCGGCTTGGCCTTTGGCAGCCTCCCTCCGCACAGACGCGCATCTCCCCGTTCCTGTCCGGGGTCCTCCCCTCCGAACCGCCTGCAGGACCGTCTCGGGGGCGGGCAGAGGGGCGCCGGCAGCTGGCGGGAGGACGGGGGGCTGGGGCAGACTGCTGAGCACACTCTGAGTTGAAGCCACTTATCTGTCTGCCACTGAGTCGTGAGGGTTCTGCGTGTGTGACAGGTGCCAGGCCCGCCTCAGGTCCGTGGCTTGCAAACATTTCCTCCTACTTCCTCGACGGCATGAACGCCATTTTAAAGCCATCGAGCACCGAGCGTAGAATTTCCAGACTCCCCCTAATTTCGAGGGTGAGCAGAAAGGACGTGGGGTCCGACCCGAAGTCCGAGACCACACTGTGTGGCCTTGGGCAGGTCAGCTCCCCCTCTAGGCCTCCATTTCCTGTCATGTGGGGTCCGAGCGCTTTGCGGGGATGGGACGTGAGCTCTGCCAGCAGATGGGGCAGGAGGACGCGGCCTGGCCAGAGGACGCCCCGAGGACGCCCCGAGGGGCCGGCAAGGGCGGCGCCGCCCCGAGGGCCTCCCGTAACGGCGTGTCCCCCTGCGCAGCCAACAACGTCTGCTTCTACGGGGAGTGCTCCTACTACTGCTCCACGGAGCACGCGCTGTGCGGGAAGCCGGACCAGATCGAGGGCTCGCTGGCCGCCTTCCTGCCAGACCTGTCGCTGGCCAAGAGGAAGACGTGGCGGAACCCCTGGCGACGCTCATATCACAAGCGCAAGAAGGCGGAGTGAGTGTGAGCCGCGGGCAGCGGGACGCGCACCCTGGGCCGGGCCCTTCCTGTTCTGACTCCGCAGTGTCTTGGGGAGCTGGGGAGCTGCTTCTGTTTTGCAGCAAGAAAATGAGCTCAGAGGGGTCTTGGGCCTTGTCACCCACCACACGGGTGTGAGTGGTGGCCGAGAAGGGAGGCGTGCCCAGCTCTGCCTGGCGGGGGCGTGTGAGGCCCCACGTTCCCACAGGCCATCGGGATGCGCATCTCCACTCTGAGACAATGTGGCCCTGCGGGGTGCTCCCTGCCCACCGGGGTCTCCCGGCGTTTGAACTTGGCTTTCACGCCCTCCTGCCCTTATTGTCCCTCTGTTCCTCTAGCCACTGAGATGTCCCTGTAGGTGTGGTGTCCAGGCCCTGTTTCCTAACAGTGACCGTCCAAAACCCTGGCATCCAGGGCTGATGGTAGCCCCCAGTTGTGATCAGCCCAGGGCCAAGCGGCTTCGTCCCCTCCCGGCCCCATACTCCTGTTAATGCAGCCCGGCCCACTGCAGGTGCGTGTCCGCCTGCAGACACTCCGCTGCATCGTGCCCGCCTTCCCCTTCGTGCTGCAGTGTAGACCCCGCTGCCCAGAGCTGGGCAGCTGCAGCAGTGGGTCTGGGCCCGTCCACACAGAGGGGCCCGGCCCTCACACTGGCCCCCCGCAGGTGGGAGGTGGACCCCGACTACTGCGAGGAGGTGAAGCAGACGCCCCCATATGACAGCAGCCATCGCATCCTGGACATCATGGACATGACCATTTTCGACTTCCTCATGGGTGCGTCCGCGGGCTGCCTGGCCCGCCCTGGGTGTCCACCCAGAGCCCCGGGCGCTGGGCCACTGTGTGGAGGGCTGAGTCCCGCCTTTCCTTGGTCACTGTGCTTGGAGGTCAGACTGCGGGGGGAGGGGAGCTCCAAGCTGCAGGAGACGCTCAGCGCGGCCCACTTGCTTCTCCCCACAGGAAACATGGACCGCCACCACTACGAGACGTTCGAGAAGTTTGGGAACGAGACGTTCATCATTCACCTGGACAACGGAAGGGGGTGAGCCCTGCCCGTGCCCTCCACATGCAGAGGGGGGCGGGCCGTGTCCCGCAGGGAGGGGCAGGCCATGTCCCGCTTCCCGGGTCTAGCCCAGAGCAGCAGGATCGGGCCTTGTGGGGAGGGCGTAGCCATCCCCGAACGTCCACTCCATGTGATGCAGGGCGCTGGTGAACAGGGCCCCGGAGACAGGGAGGGTCATGACGTTGACCCCATGAGCTGAGTCTGTCACACCCTCGTGGGGTCTGGAGAGCAGGCTGTGGGGAGCAGGTAGGGGCGCCCACCTGCACCTTAGCATCTGGGACCAGCCTCCCCGCCAAACGGCCTGCCTGGTGCACAGGAAGTGGGTGCGTGCGTAGGGCCCCCAGTACAGATGGTGAAGGCTCCGAGTACCCGGCCCTGGGCGCCCAGAGGTGGACGTGTGGGTCACGTGCCCCAGCTGTAACAGGCGCCGTGGTGCTGGCCCGGCTGACCCCCCTCGCGCCCTGTCCTCCCAGCGTGCCCGGGCCCTGCCCTTAGAGGTACTCAGGCCAGTGGCCAGAAGGCTGGGCTGCTTTCAGGCACCCCGTTCCCTGGGGCGGGGGACAGTGGGGGCCAGGCCACATTGCCCAGTGTCCAAAGCCCTTGCAGCCCAGCCCACACACATGCCACTCAGTCCAGTGTCCCTGTCCCCGACAGATGCCTGGGTGGCAGCCTCTGAGCAGGGTGGTCCCCAGATGCCACCCCCGAGTGCCACCCCAGACAGCCCTGCTTTTCTCCGGCAGGTTTGGGAAGTATTCCCACGACGAGCTTTCCATCCTGGCACCCCTACAGCAGTGCTGCAGGTACGTGCACCCCGCCCTCCGCGGAGCGGCCCTGGCACCCTGCAAGAGGCCACATGCTGCCACAGCCGCAGATTAGGCGTCTCTGTCCCCACCCAGCCGTGACGTGAGAACGACGTCCCAGCCCCAGTGGGACCCACAGCCCGACTCCCACTGCACAGTAGCACACACCCCTGACCCCTGACCCCTGACCCCACCGGCACCGGATGACTATCCAGCTTGAGCTCCAGGACCCCACGGCCCTTTGCCAGGACTGAGATCCTTGTCACCCTGAGGACCCATCTTACATGTGAAAACTCAGGCCCTGACAACAGCCCTGCTCTCCAGAGCTCTGTGCCACCGTCTGCAGGGCTCCCCACCCCCCTTCCTCCCCTTTGTAGGGGGGTGGACAGGCTATGAGGCAAAGCCACCTGCACTTCCCAAGGGAGGCCCCAGCGTACGCCCTGCTCAGACAGCCGTGCCGAGCCAAGCTAGGGGCTGTGTCCTCGCTGAGTGCGGGGTCCTCCCTCCCAGGCCGTCTCCCTGATGGATGGGGGCCTGCTGGGCAGCGCGGGCCTCACAGGGCCTCGCAGGGCCCACCCGAGGCAGGACCCTGGGCCTTAGCCCCTCAGAGGCAGGGGCCAAGCTGGACCACCCTGCTTGGGGCCGCGGAGACGCTTGACCTTGGCGCGTCCCTCGCCCGGTTTCCCGCGGCCCGGAGCCCGCTCCCTCCCGCCAGGCCCCCACTGCTCTCTCCTGCAGGATCAGGAAGTCCACGTACCTGCGGCTGCAGCTCCTGGCCAAGGAGGATTACAAGCTGAGCCTGCTGATGGCAGAGTCCCTGCGGAAGGACCGGGTGGCCCCCGTCCTGTACCGGCCGCACCTGGAGGCCCTGGACCGGCGGCTGCGTGTCGTCCTGCGCACCGTGAGGGGCTGCGTGGAGAAGGACGGGCTGCGCAGTGTGGTGGACAATGACCTGGACCCCGAGCACAGAGGCTCCACCCAGAGGTAGTGACCACGAGTCGCCGGCCCGCGCTGCAGAGGGACACAGTTCCCGCACCATGGGGGGACACAGGTGCCCGCGCCGCGGAGGGACACGGGAGCGCGCCATGAACTCGAGCCACCGGCCAGCTCCCGGTTGGGAACCTCGGAAACGTGAGGTCATCGGCAGTGGGTCCCACGGAACGCAGTCTATTCGTTTTCAAGGCTGGACATGGTTGGGGAGCGGGCGCCCTGTGCTCACGGACAGAGGTGGCCGACGGCAGGGCGACCCCCCCACTTCTTGTAGGGAAGAGAAGTCTTTATTGATGGTTTTGTATTCATCCACGGATCCTATGTACATAAACAGACGTCTGCCAGGCCCCAGACCACCCACCAAATTCACGCGAGAGGGCCGCACCCCTCGGCCAGGTCCTGGAAAGGGTCCTGGCGCCCCAGACCCGGCTCTGAATAAAAACCCTTCTGTGCTCCCCTCCGGGGTCACGTTGGGGCCACGAGTCCCTTCGCGGATTTGCGCTGACAGACGGACACGCGCACGTGGTTCTCGAGTGGCAGAAATGACCAGCTGTCCTGGCAGCGCCTGGACTTCGTTGGGTGGCGCCGGGCCGCAGCTCGTCCGACTGCTTCGGGGACCTGGTGTAGCTGCGTCCCGCGCGCGGACCCCGCGCCGCCGGCAGCGGGCTCGCCTCCGCCGCATTTTCGTGGAATAGTTTGCAATGTGAGAAAGTGCAATAAAGATACAGCAAATGTGTTAGGGGCCTGGGGGGTCCAGGTCTCTCGCAGCCTTGTGCTCAGCTGTCTGCCCACCCACCCTCCAAAAAACAGGTCCTCATGCTGGGTATGGGGAGGCCCCAGCTTTCAGGGTGCTGGGACAGGAAGCAGGGGTTGCAATAAGGCCGGAGCTTGCTCCCAAGGCAGGGGGTGGGCGTGGAGAGGGGGCTCGCTCACTGGCCTGCTCCTGAGAGTGGGTGGAGATCCCGCAAACCACAGGCCGGCCCCAGGGGGCGGCATCTTGTGGGCACAGCGGCTTCACCCGGGGGAGTGGGGACAGCGGTGGCTGCAGGAAGGGCAGGCACAGCAGCTTTCCTGAGCCACAGGTGGCCCGAGTCCTCCAGGCTCCACCCGAAAGCTTCCCCCACCTGCTGGCCGCTGGCTGGCAGCCTGATACGCAGCCCCGGCGAGCCTGGGAGGTCACTGAGGTGTCTCCCATGTGGGGGTGCAGGGCGCGTGAGCCCCGCGTTCTCAGAGCACCGGAGCCCCAGAGCAGAGAGCACGTCCTCACCTGCCACCGCAGGGTATTTCTGGTCTCTAGAGCTAGACTGCAAGGTCACCTTTATTTTCCAACCTGACCAGCCCGCCAGCTCACCCAGAGCCAGCTCCACTCCGGCCTGGTTCACCAGCCCCTCCAGGGGGCTTTGCTGCGGCCGGTGTGGGGGGACAGGAAGCAGGGGGGGTCTGCCGGCCGTCACGATCTGGTCAGTGGTGGTGTTTGAGATTTCTTAAACCGTGTTCATTGGTGTCACACTGATGAAAATCCAAACTGCAGCCAAAGCTGCCGGGCGGAGGGTGAGCAGTGAGGC